GTTGTTTGTTGTTTTTTTTTGAGACGGTGCACTCTGTCACCCAGGCGGAGGCCAGGGTAGGCATCTCAGCTCACTGCAACGCCACCTCCCTGGTTCGAAGTAAGTTCTCGTGAGGTCTCAGCTTCCTAAGTAGCGGGAGTGACAGGCGCCCGCCACCGACGCGCCCAGCGCTAAGTGGTGGGGAGAGAGGGGGAGCGGGCCGTTGGAACACCTGACGCGGCGAAGAGCGCAGCGAAGCGCCGAAAGGCTGGAGACAGCAGAGCCAGTGCCCCCAGCGAAATTTTCTGTGTAAAAGCATACCGCATCATTCGGTTTCATTCCTAGGAGGTTACGATAGACACGGAGACCAAGGGGCGTGAAAAACCCGAAGCGGGAATATGCTGTGGCAAGCCTTCCGGAAGAAGCCAACCGCATGAAGGACGGCGCAGCAGGATAAAGCGCGTGAGGCTGTACGCTGGGTCACCAGGGAGGAGCCCCAGTTATCAGTTATGCACCGAGTAGCAGGGCAGGCGGAGTGGACGCGCACGCAGAGCTTGCAAGGCGTCAAACTCAAAAGTAGAATGTGTAAGTGTTCGAGAGGCACTTCAAATAGAGGAATGAGCAAACAGTATGACACACTACTGAAAAAATCAGGAAATGCATGGGAGGACAAAAGCTAGTGTGATAAAAAGCCGAAGCACCGGGAAGTACGCCCGGCACAGAAGGAAAGCTAATCCCCCTGTTTTCTCGGTGGCTACCGCATGAGCGCGATTGCCCCGGAGAATAGGTACCCCATTATCTAGTCATCCTCCAAAGAATGTTTAGCAAGAATTACTATTGTATGCAAAAAGAATGATGTGGTCAGTAGCTTAAACAATGGAGGCCCAGAATTCGAGATTATACAGATTTAGTACAGAGTGCCGGCAGTAGCCCAAAGCCTCCTGCGCGTTCTGGGTATTTTTGGTGTTTTTTGTTGGTTTTGGAGACGTCTTCACACGTGTTTGCCCGGCTGAAGTACAGGGGTACAATCGCTGCTTACTGCAGAGCGGGCCGCCCCGAGGCGAAGCAGAGGGGGGCCTCAACCGCCGCCTAGTAGCATAGGATACAGGCACCATGCTGCCAGCCCAACGCTAATCTTTCTTGTTACTTTTAGTGGAGATGGCGTTTCGGCCACGTGTGGCCAGGCTGATCTTGAACGCCTGAGCTCAGCAATCTGCGCCACGCCTCCCAAGAGCTTAGGATTACGAGGGCATGAGAACCCAGCCTCTTTAGGCTCGGCTGAAGCGTTGATCTTAATAGCATTGTCCGTTACAAGCATTATCTAAATGTTCAGGGGGTCACGTTTAAAGGTCTCACTGCAACCTCTGCCTCCCAGGTTCCAGCGATTCTCCTGCCTCAGCCTCCTGAGTAGCTGAGATTACAGGTGCTTGCAACCATGCCCAGCTAATTTTTGTATTTTTTAGTAGAGACAGGATTTCACCATGTTGGCCAGGCTGGTCTTGAACTCCTGACCTCAGGTGATCCACCTGCCTTGGCTTCCCAAAGTGCTGGGATTATAGGCGTGAGCCACCAAGCCTGGCCAACAATGCCTAATATTTACTGAGCACTTACTATATACCAGACTGCTCTTGGTGCTTTCTATGGGTGATCTCACTTAGTCTTTTCAGCAGCCTGAGGGCTAAGTACTATTGTTCTGTGTCATGGATGAGATTGCATAATGTTTCCTGAGCATTTGCTACCTGCCAACCATCATGGTATGTGCTTTGGATGCAACATTTGATTCCAACCTCCCCAAAGCTCTAATATAGCCTCTAGTACATGCCCATTTTACAGAGACCTAGATGAGGTAAACAACTTGACCAAGGCTACCCGTGAGGCTGGTACTTAAAGTTCTAGGGGAAAAACAGGTCTTGTTTTAGAGATGAAGCCGTGGAGGTTGGAGAGTTTGCTCAGCAGCACACTCCTTCTTAGGTAGGTTCCACTTTTTTCCAAAGCGCAGTTCACTCATCAAATACTCATTGAGGCCAGGCGTGGTGGCTCACACCTGTAATCCCAGCACTTTGGGAGGCCAAGGTGGGAGGATTGCTTGAGTCCAGGAATTTGAGACCAGCCTGGGCAACATGGTGAAATCCTATCTCTACAAAAAAATAAAAGAATTAGCTGGATGTGATGGCATGTACCCTCAGCTACATGGGAGGCTGAAAGTGGAAGGATTGCTTGAGCTTGGGAGGCTGATGCTACAGTGAGCTGTAATCATGCCACTGCACTCCAGCCTGGGTGGCAGAGTAAGACCCTGTCTCAAAAAACATTCATTGAGCTCCTACAGTATGTGCCAAGTTCTGTGCTTTTTGCTGGATACAGATGGGAGTGAACCTGGCTAAGTGTCTGCAGAGGGTAGGCCTTCCAGTGAGCTCGCTAAAGATTGGGAGGCTGCAGTGAGTGGATCATGGTGGCAAGTACTCTGAAATGCATGGTTCTCAGACACCTGTAGTGAGAAAAGTGGTATCCACCCACATTCTCACCTGGAGCACATGCCATGTTTCACATCAGGTCAAAGGTAACAGATTAGAGGGGACTGGGTTTGACCAATGCCGGGAAAAGGCTTTATTTAACCATAGAGAATTGCAAAGCCAATCATATTGTGGGGGGTTCCCCTGTAATAATAATGATGATGTGAATTTTGTTTGGATTTTTTCTTGCGTGTTTGAACTGCACTAACTTGTTCTTTCTTTCTCCATAGGCAGTTTGCTGGATTTCCTGAAGAGCGATGAAGGTGGCAAAGTGCTGCTTCCAAAGCTCATTGACTTTTCTGCTCAGGTAACATATTCAGAAAGCCCCATGTGCATGTGCATTTGCAAAGACTTCCCTGCGTCAAATTCATGAAGGAGTTATTGCTCCAGGGAGAAGGAATTTCTGTTGAATGTTTCCCAGCAGCAATTATGAGAAAAAGACCTTCCATGGTACAATTCTTGGAGATAGTAATAGGAGATTCACATGGATTGTGTGCACGTGTTGAGTTTTGACCTGAATATCATCTTCTATAAGCCGAGTCAACCTCTTTATGTTCATTTCACAAATCACAGAAACAGTGCAGTTGAATCAATCGCTTTCTCAGCATTTGGGAGAGGCAGTTCCATACTATGTAAGCACCGCAGCTTTTAAATGATGCATACGTTTTATTTAAGTTACGAATAGAATGTATGCATACTTTTAAGTCTTCCGTATTCTTGAAAACAGAGGAACTATGTCCCTTTCCTGCTACACTTCTTCTCGCTCGTTCTCATTGGATGTGCCATCAGGATTCTGTGAAATATTCCTTTGTACTATTTTTAGAACTAGTCTAGGAGTTGCCTGTTTATTTACTTTGGAATAACATGTTTCCTGAAGTGTATTTAAGAGCAGAAGCAGGTTATCCAGAAGCCCCGCCATGTGCCCAAAATATCAAGGAAATGCACACTTGAATGATGCCAGCTGCTGACTTTTACTACTTTCATTGTGTCCATTAGTCATGTTCAGTAATTTGCTTGCTTGTTTTTCAGTATTGGCAATGGGTGGTTTCATGAAGCCCAGTGTATGTAGCAAGAGATTTATAGAAGTTCTAGGGAAGGCTGGTCCCTGTAGTTTTACTCCCACTTCTTCCCTCACACCCTCTTTTAGTTAGGAAATTGCTACAGCCTTCTTGGGAATATGAGATCCAAGGAATGCATGAGTACAGAGGTGAAGCACCTCACATAAGGTAGGGCTGGACACAGGTTCTGTAATAGAGCATCGTGGGTTAAGTTGGCATTCAGAACCTGGAGACTGGAGTTTGTGTCCTGGTTCTGCCACTGGATAGCCATACCGCTTCAATTTTGGAAGCCCTTTACCTATTTGGGCTACTTTATTCGCCTATAAAACAGAAAGGTCATTCCTACTGTAAGGAGATGTTGTTGAGGGTCACATCAAACACAGATGTTGTTGTGTCACATGCTTGGCACGGGCACAAGCACCTCAGAGCCTGCTGGTGGAAGCTGGGAAAACCCAAGGGAGGGCAGTGCCCATCCTTCCATTAAAGGTGTGTGATGGGTGAGTCACACTGCTCAGGCATCCCCTCCACCTCCGGGACTCGGCAAGCCTAACAGGTTCCTCATCTGAGTTAGAAATTCAAGTGTGCCCTGAAATGCCAACATCTAATAAGAAAGAAGCATAATTGCTGTGGTGGAACAGAGGGGTAAGGAAAGGACCCAGCAGCCCTCCCTTTTTAACCCTGTCCTCAAAGTCTATGCTGGCCCCTGGGATGCTCCATGGGATTCCAAGGTTTCCAGAACTATAGTTTGAAAACCACGTCTCTGCAGTAGGAGGAATAAGCGGGATTGGGCTCAGCTCTAGAACCTGTGTAGAAAACAGATCAGGAAATGGAGAAAGCAGAAGGTCTGATAAACTTGGGTCATACTTACACGGATCAATGAGGCCCTCTACTCAGGTGGTGATTTAGGTGTCCCCATGGGTCAAAGACTTGAGGAGTGTAACAAAGGTTTGTCACGCTTGGACAGGGCTATGGAACATTGGGACACACGGCCTGGAGGGCCTGAGTGGTCACAGCCATTCCATCTGCTGGGGGTCTGATCTGTGCCCACAGTTCTTTAGGACAGAAATTACACACATTTGGGTACATACTATACCCAGAGAATGACTTTATTTTGTCACATGGGTATTTTGTATTGGGTTTTGCATGGCTTATCTCATAAGACTTTATCTTGACATAGTCGAAACTTTTAAGGTTCAAGTCAAGGCCTCTATGCTGAGTCTTTAATTTAGTGAATTACTACCATTACCTCAAAGAGTAATTTTTCTAACCTAGAAATGAATAGGGGGAGAAGTTATTTTCTAGACCTTCGTAGCTTATGAGGAAGGTTACCACAGAGTCTGGCATTGACTATGACCATTGTGCTGTGGATTCCAGGGGCTTCCGTTGACTCTCCTGTCAACTCTGATGGGGCTGAGGCCCCTTGGTGATAGGAGGGGCTGGGGGCAATAAAGGCCAGCACCACTGGTCTCCACCCAAGCCAGTTTACCAAATCCAGCCCGTGCCAGGTGAGCTCACGTTCACAGGTCTAGGGTCTCTTTCCTAGCAGTGGCCCCTTGGTGGAACCCATGGAACATCTGGCTCAAGTGCATGAACTGCTCAGTGTCACTGGAAGAGTCACGGGTCAGCAGCAGCTGGCAGGACCCTAAGTGTGTTCATTCAGCACAGAATTCATTTTCTTTACAACTAAGCACTGGCTCCTTTTGAGTTCATCTTTGCTCAAGCTGCAAACCTCACTCAGACTCTTTCCCAGCCCTTCCCTCAAGGTGGCGCTGGTGAGACCACCTGTTCTCCATCCTTAATCATTATCTGCTTCTTGTACCTGTGGCTTTTCTTATTATAATACAGATAATTTGAGAAGGGGGTCTTACCCTTGGCAACAAGGAGTAGGGCGTGTACGCTTCAGCTTCAGCCTGAAATCCCATACCTTCCACTTCCACTTTCTGCTCACTGCGCCTGCTCCCTTGTCCCCCCGGAATGCCCTCACTGATGACCACTGCTGCCCAGTGCTCCTCCTCCTCCTTCACACACCTTTCTGAAATGATCTGTCTGTGCCAAGAAGGCCATCTCTGCATTATCTTACCTTTCCTTCTCTATCATGTGCCACTAATTAACTCTATCACTTTTCCATAGTGAATATCATGACAAGAGTAAGTATTATTAAAGTTGCCCAAGGGTGACAGAGATAGCTGGTGCCCAGATACTTCGATAATCCAACCTTTTCTATACCTTACCCCCACTTTACTCTTTAGGGTGGGAATTTAGGGATAAAGCAGAAGAGGAATTACAGAAGTCCATTTGCTGTGTTAGCTCTAACTAAACAGTTAGTATGCTATGCGATAATGATGTGGCTTGCTGTCTTCCATAACCCTCGTCAATAGCATCAGAGTTGGGAAATTTAAGGTTCACAGGGGGTAGTTAAATTCAGCAGATTTTCACAATGAAAGATTGGTCATTGGGAGTAGAAATAACCCAGTTTACTTAATCCCAGCCCTAGATGAATAAGGGAAACTGTGAGGGGCAGAGTTGGGACTTTTCCCACCGTCTATATCTGGCCTCTTCTTCCCGCTCCCCACTACCCACTTCCCCATGCCCTACTCTCCCGTCCATATTCCCCTGTTGCCCATTGAGACAGGAAGTGGCTAGTGCACATGACAGTCTCACAGTTCGTGTGAGAGCTGATTTCATCACTTCCTGTCGCAGGATGAGTTCTGAAAGACTTGTCTGAGCCCAAGTGTAATAATCCACACTCTCCAACAATCCGTAGCCCATTCAACATAGATCAAGAAATCCTGACTAGAGCAGCTTTACCCATTGCTTTTCTCTTTGTATTAAATTAAGCAATTTAGTGCTTTTTGTGCTGAAATAGGAAAATACCTCTTTGCAAAGGAAGTTTGATACTTTCAGAGCAGAGAGACTTTGCATAATTCCCTTCCAGCTTTTAGGCCCCATGTCAGAGAAGAAAAAATGAGCTCGGAAAGACAAGGGGTTAAAACCAGTGGGGATTTCCTTCATCAGAAGCCGAGATGGAATCATAGACTTGTCAAACTGAGAGGAAAAAGAAGTGAAAAATATACAGTTGCAGTTTGGAGAGCAAATAAATCATCTTGTAATCCAGACCAAGTGAATCAAAGCATTTATTACTCTTTGGTGGCAGTATCTCAAGTGCAAAAATTACTAAAAATGAAACAATTGTTTGTGAGTTAAATGTCAGTAAAAACTGCAAAATCAAGCCAAGAAAAGTGGCATGCACCTATGGTCTCAACTACTCGGGAGGCTGAAACGGGAGCATTGCTTGAGGCCAGAAATTCAGGACCAGCCTGGACAACATGGCAAGAATCTACAAAACAAAGCAAAACAAAAAAATTGCAAAATCAGAGTTGTTGTTATTATCATGGCAACAAGTAACATTTATTTTAGCTTCTTCTGGTTGATGCGACACTTACACCTCCATTATCTAATTTGAACCCAACAGCCTTGAAAGCATATATTTTGTTGTTTAGTACCTCTTACAGATAATGAGGTGAACTTGGACTTGTCTGAGGTTACTGAGCTAGTATGCAGAATTGCTGGGACTTGATCCAGGGACTTCTGACTCAAGATAACTGATTCTTTCCTCTGCAGCCTGCTGTTGTCTCATGGTTACAGTTGCTGCTATGGTCATTTTGCACTCAACACTACTGTGATATGCATTTTCCCTGTTATGGATTTTGACCATCAAAATTAATATTTTCTTTAGATTTTTCCACCTCAAAAGTCTTTATTGCCAAGGTAGAGATTATGCTCAAGGTATATTTTGCCCCCAGTATTAAATTTAAAGCCACATTTTAAAATGGAAATTGGTAAAATGAGGAAGGTAGGAAAACTCTGTCTAGGAAGTTCTCGACCTTTTTGAGTAGGAGGGCCTTTTAACAGCAGAGCTTTCTGAGCACATCCTCATAGTTGTAGCTACTGGGTGAGAAAACAGTGTATAGATTTGGAATCCCTTGTAATATCTCTTGGTTGAAACTTACCAGTATGTTGGTGGTAAATCAGGCTTGAAGGGTCTAGAGAGGCAAGTTTCTAGAATATTTGCCAATACCATCCAAAGTGAGTCTCTTCTTCTGTCTCTTTGTCTGGAACGTAAGAGATGTGTTAGATGCTCATATTCCACCTCAAGGCTATAATCTCAGTGAATCATCTGCTTTATCTTCAAAGCTTTTTTTAGTAATAACCTTTGATTGATAGTGTCCTCATGTTTAGTTCACTTAAA